TATATATATATTACATGTTAGCACAAGATTTTGCATGCTTTGAAATAGGCCTTGCTTCAGGAGTCTTCAAGTGGACTAGAAATCTATTGAAGAAAATTCTAATATAATTGGCTTTTATTAATTCATTACTTCGAAGATATTGCCAAAAAAAAATTTAGAGAGAACATTTCTAATTCCTATATTTTAATCTTTTAGATTAACACCAAACAAATCAATCATATACGTATATCCAAAAATGAGTTTTGTCAGCACCGGAAAGCCCAAATACTAAGTAGGCCTCATGGGCCCAATGGATCAAACCCGCTATCATACACTTAATTCTCTATTTTTTATGATGTACATTTAGAGACCTAAAGAGTAACTCTAAAGCTCGTTAATGGCCATGCGGTTTCCTCTAACTTAGTCCACTGATCTTAACACATTCAGGCGTGCTCCTTCAGCCATGCTCATTCATATATCTCAAGTTCTTTTTTCTAAGCTCGCTTGTACTATTATGAACTTTCTATCAAACTCGTTGTACACATCACTATTGTCAGCACAAATCTCGAAGCAATCAAAAGGCCGAATATGATTGCTCAACGATCGAGGAGTTAGATTCAAGAAACATGATCTGAATTGATCATGTAAAAGGTCAACAGACTGATCAAGTCCACCATCGACAAATCTGGTCGATGGGTCTATCTGCAGTCCCAACGGTCGAAGCTCCCTAAAAGTTGATCAAACTCAACCAGTCGACTAACTGCTCATACCTCAGCAGAAATGACTCCCACATGGCCTGACGTTTTGGTCGACCAAATCAGAACATATTGATCGACTGATTACACTCAAATATGAGTTCAAATTGTACTATAAACCCTAAACTTTAAACCAGCACATTGCTTACATAACAGGGCGTTTTTCATAATCGCTCCCTCATTTCGATAATAAGGATTATTTTCATAATCGCTCTCACCGTTTTGTAATTGTACAAGAAAACCTCTTATAAAAAGGAAGTCCAACGATGAATAAATAGACCCCGATCTGAGTTTTTCCCCTGCCTCTTTACTAGCAATTTTCCTCTCTCTATTCTTTTTTCCGACTCTAACCCTCAGGCATGTATTTCCAAAAGATAATTCTACATCAATACTCATTAATAATCATCGCGCCATAAAAATGTACCTGCTCTTCTACTCCTACACTTTATTTAGACCTCATAGAATATAATAATCTTCACTGGGCTATAAAAAAAAACAAATATTATATTGTATGTCATGTTATTAGAGCTTGTGAAAACTCTTTGTTGATAAGTTCCTAGGCATGGATGTCATACAGTCGATAAAAAGTCATGAAAGGTAATGAAATTGAATTTTCTTCCTACTATGGACAATTCAACGAAATTGAAAGCTTGCTAGGCACGTGCAAGCTCAAGAAGTATCAACAAACTTAACCGGAGAAACTCGCTTGAATATCTAATATGAAAAGTTCAGTTCGAAGAACTCACGTAACATTTTGAGAGCTAGATCTAACTGCAATCACCTTCGTGAGTGCGTACAACTAGTATGTACGACTGGACCGACCAGGATCAATGCTACAAAATGAGTGGTAAACTAACTCTACCCTTAAGTCCCAAAAAAAAAAAAGCTCATTTAGTGTTTGAATTTTTCTTTTAATTTGAGCATATATTTTTGGGGATATAAATAAACAAATATAAACCAACATGATCGATATAATATATGCAGACTTGTTGAGGTGTCCATCCACTCAAGCGTAAGGCGGTCATATATGATTATAAAATTCACATAGTAAACAAAATTTCATTTTTTTTATAAATAAAAGAAGAAAAGTAGGCCCACAATTATCCAGCAATAAAAAATTAATAAGAATTAGACCAAAACCATAACTTTGTCCCCAAGAAAAACCAGATCGCAGCTCATTTATGCGGTTCAATTATTGGACCAAAAATTTTAAAAAATAACTTTTTTTATTATTATCTTATTGCCTTGGTGCCCACGTTTTCTTTATTTATGTTTATTTGCATCGACCCACAGTCAAATGTGATTAGTTCATTACGGTTGCCATTTCAACTCATGGCTGCATGCTTTGAAATGGGCCTTGCTTCAGGAGGCTTCAAGTGGACTAGAAATCTATTGAAGAAAATTCTAATCTAATTGGCTTTTTGTAATTCATTACTTCGAAGATATTGCCAAAAAAAATTTAGAGAGAACATTTCTAATTCCTATATTTTAATCTTTTAGATTAACACCAAACAAATCAATCATATACGTATATCCAAAAATGAGTTTTGTCAGCACCGGAAAGCCCAAATACTAAGTAGGCCTCATGGGCCCAATGGATCAAACCCGCTATCATACACTTAATTCTCTATTTTTTATGATGTACATTTAGAGACCTAAAGAGTAACTCTAAAGCTCGTTAATGGCCATGCGGTTTCCTCTAACTTAGTCCACTGATCTTAACACATTCAGGCGTGCTCCTTCAGCCATGCTCATTCATATATCTCAAGTTCTTTTTTCTAAGCTCGCTTGTACTATTATGAACTTTCTATCAAACTCGTTGTACACATCACTATTGTCAGCACAAATCTCGAAGCAATCAAAAGGCCGAATATGATTGCTCAACGATCGAGGAGTTAGATTCAAGAAACATGATCTGAATTGATCATGTAAAAGGTCAACAGACTGATGAAGTCCACCATCGATAAATCTGGTCGATGGGTCTATCTACAGTCCCAACCGTCGAAGCTCCCTAAAAGTTGATCAAACTCAATCAGTCGACTAACTGCTCATACCTCAGCATAAATGACTCTCACATGGCCCGACGTTTTGGTCGACCAAATCAGAACATATTGATCGACTAATAACCGTCAAATCCAAGTTCAAATTGTAATATAAAATTAACATTAAATCAACACATTGCTTACATAAAGGACGTTTTTCATAATCGCTCCCTCATTTCGATAATTAAGAGTTATTTTCGTATTCGCTCTCAACGTTTTGTAATTGTACAAAAAAACCTCCTATAAATAGGAAATCCGGAGATGAGGAGTTTTTCCTCTGCATCTTTACTAGCACTTTTCCTCTCTTTACTCTTTTTTTAGGCTCTAACTCCAACACATGTATTTCCAAAAAATAATTCTGAATTCAATACTCGTCAAAAGCCATAAAAATGTACCTGCTCTTCTACTCCTACACTTTATTTGGACCTCATAGAATATAATAATCTTCACTGGGCTATAAAAAATAAAAGCTTGTGAAAAATCTTTGTTGATAAGTTCCTAGGCATGGATGTCATACAATCGATAAAAAGTCATGGAAGGTAATGAAGTTGAATTTTCTTCCTACTATTGTGAAGGACAATTCAACAAATTTGATAAACACATGATCTAGGACCGAAAGCTTGCTAGGCACGTGCGAGCTCAAGATGTATCAACAAACTTAACCGGAGAAACTCGCTTGAATACCTAATATGACAAGTTCAGTTTGAAGAACACGTAACATTCTGAGAGCTAGATCTAACTGCAATCACCTTCGTGAGTGCTTACAACTAGTATGTACGGCTTGACCGACCAGGATCAATGCTACAAAATGAGTGGTGAACTAACTCTACCCTTAAGTCTCAAAAAAAAAAAGCTCATTTAGTGTTTGAATTTTTCTTTTAATTTGAGCATATATTTTTGGGGATATAAATAAACAAATATAAACCAACATGATCGATATAATATATGCAGACTTGTTGAGGTGTCCATCCACTCAAGCGTAAGGCGGTCATATATGATTATAAAATTCACATAGTAAACAAAATTTCATTTTTTTTATAAATAAAAAGTTGAAGAAAAGTAGGCCAACATTTACCCAGAATTAAAAAATTAATAAGAATTGGACCAAAACATCAAAACCATAACTTTGTCCCCAAGAAAAACCAGATCTTTGCCCCTTTAAAAACTCATCCTAACACCTCCCCAATCTTCACCCACCTCCCCCTACAGTAAAAAATCCAAAAATACCAACTAAATCCAATGACACCCCGACCCTCCGCCGCCGGCCGACTGCTGGGTCCGCCGGAGATCCACCCCCCGCCCTCCTCTGGCAAG